CCACACCTGACAAAGAAATTCTTTTCTAATGCTTTTTTACTCAGCGTAGGGAGGAAGGTCTGGCTAAGAGTGAGGAGAGGGAGGAGGGGCTGAGAGATGATAAAAGAAGCCTTGGAGGCCAAAATAAAAGGAACTGATGTGTTCTGGACATGGACCAATCCCCACAGCGAACATACTCATTATACACTGCGAACACGTACTAATAAAAACTTAAAACCACAAGTGTAAGAGGGCTGTCCAACTGAGGCAGAGCGTCCTCTGCCAGGAACACTGGAGGCCTCCCGAGGCTCGCGACCACACGTGCAGAGAGATGTGCCTGCTCAGCTGCGCAGCTGCAGGAAGCAAGTACTCAGAGCTAGGTTTGGCCGGGCTTTTGGCTTAGCGAGGGAAGCCAGCAGCTGGGAGAGGGCAGACCTGCAGGATGACACAAGCTGAGGACAGCCGTCCAGACCCTCCAGTGAGTGGCGCATCTGCCAAGTGCTCTCGCTGGAGCCTGGGCCGCAGCCACGTCCTGCCGACCACCTCCTAAATATCCCACCCTTTTTCACCCATTCTAACCACGGTCGTTCGCCTCCTTACTGGCTCTCGTGTGATTCCTCGCACTGCAGTCAGGAGCGATCTTTCAGAATGTGCCAGGCCGATCCTTTGGCCCCACTGACAACCGCGTGGTGACTTCTGTTGTCTAATGTGAGCCCCAGATGTGACTCACGGGGCCTTGGCCTGGAGACCTGGCTCTCCTCTCCTCTTGGTTTACACATCCCTTCCTTTCCCGGTGCCAGCCCTGCTGTCTTCTTTGGATTCCTCCAGAGGGGGTGCAGACACCCCCGAAGAGCCCAGGATGGCTTGCCAGAAGGAAAGCGTATCAGAACTTCCATTTGTGTGTTTCTCATTATATGTTTAAATTCCTATGATTAGACATACTTAAAATGTATATATTGGTAATAAATACATATAATTTTAAATAAATCTGTGTATATTAAGATAGTGCTCAAAATGTGTCATTGATAAGCCAAGCCAGTGGGAAGGCCTATAGACCTTGTGCTCAGGTGTGAGTCTTTCCCGCCTCAGGGTCCTTGCTCCTCCTTCCCAGCCCCAGTGGTGAAACCTTTTTTTTGCTCCCCCCATTTTCCTCCTGCTGACTCTCAGGCAGGATCTGGCTCCCTGCCTGGGGTCTACCACTCTGTCTCATGCCGGTCACACCCATGCTGTGCCCAGGCCCACTGTGCTAGGTATCGCTACCCAGCGCAGCAGACCCACCCTCCCTCCGGCCTTCCTATTGGCTGCACTGTCTCCCTCCTCTGGGGCCAGCCGACCTTTTCCTCCAGGAAGCCCTTGCAGGGGCTCAGCGGGAGGAGAGAGGGGCCCTGCTCTGCTCACACCCCTCGCTGAAAGAGTGACCCAGGCCTGCGGTCTAGGAGAAGTCGCAGACCCTGTCAAGGCAGCTTCCCCTAAACAAAGCCACACTCCTCGTCTAGGTTCCAGGATCTGCTCCTACCCTTTGTCCCTGCAGGCTTGTGACATATTTTGTTTGTCTTACTCTAGGTTTGTAATTCAAATTAGTTGCTGACACTTAAAAACAGAAGCTTTTGCATAAAATTTCAAATGTCTGACTGCTCTTAAACATAGAAATCATAGCCAGGCATGGTGGTGCACACCTGTAATCCAGCATGCAGGAGGCTGGTGCAGAAAGATCCTTAGTTTGAGGCCAGCCTGAACCATATAGTGAGACCTCATCTCAAAGACTAAAACTTACATAAATATAAATTCAGGTGAGGTCCAATGACACAATCATGTAATTCCAGTGCTTGGGAGGCTGTAAGCTTGAGTCCTACTTAGGTAACCTAGTGAGACGTATGTCAAAAATATAAATAAAAAGGGCTAGGGGTGTGGTTGAGTAAATAAATAAACAAATAAAAATAAATCCAAAAATCGACCTTCGGCCCAGACTACTGTAGTGGCCTTCAACAGTCACCACCTTTTGGAGCTGGCAGCAGCTTCCCTTCAGACCAGGTCGGTTCACCTCTAGTCTCCATAATCCCACTGCACTCCCAACTGTTATAGGAGCCTGCTTTGCTGTCACTGCCAAGGACATTTGAGGTTGCAAGTTCTGGCTTAAAAAAATGTTACCCAGTGTGGCACACTGTGACACAATAGACGCGGAAACCAAAAGAAGAATTTGGAGTGCTTTATTAGCTGAGCTCAGCAGCAACAATCCCTCAGACAAGCTAAGGAGAATGTACGCTGCATTAAAACAAAGCACAACCTTTAAGGTGAAAAACCGCAGGGTAGGGGGAGAAGGGGGATTCTTGCAAGGTTTACTCATTGCCCTTTGTTCCCTTACCTGGGAAGGACATTTGGTAACAGTTTAGCCCACACCTCAGAATGCTGAGGAACACTTCAAGCAGTTAATTTTATGGTCTGCCATAGGTGGGAGTTCACAGAGAGATTAGGACTTCACAAAATGAAGGTTATAGAATTTGTTAAAAAGGGAATTAGTTAAGCCAGTTTATAACACCCAGCAGGTGAGACCAGTGTCAGACCCTTCATCTGCTGTGAGAAGGGAGGTCGGCCTCCCAAATCCCCCCATTTCTCCCTCTCCCCCTCACCACCACCCAGAAGGTCTTGTCTGGGGCGGGCTATCCACTGGCACACAGCTGTCCTGCTCTTCCATGTCCCACCCTGCTGCCTATGTAGCTAGCCTATGCTTTCTACAGTGGGAGTCAGAGTATATCTTTCCCCTTTAAAGCCCTAGGTTTCCTCATCAGTGTAGAGACAAAGGCCACATTTGCTAAGTGTACCTCCAGGCTCTGGGCCCCAGACTGACTTGGGCTACTCTCCACCACTTTCCCACTCCTCTAGGTCATAAAAACAAAAACAAAAACAAAAAAAAACAGCTAAAGAAAATCTTAATCCTAAAGATTAAGAAAGACACGATCATCTATTTTCTGGTGCTGATTGCCAGCTGACGTCTAAAGGGCCTACCTGTCCATACCCGCACTCTGCCACAGGGCCACATCCTCAATCTGGCTTTCTTTAATACCACAATAACACTATAACACTCCTATTTAATGTGACTCCTAGAGGAGTATTTTCAAGCTGATAACCATTGTGCCAGTGCCATTCAAAGCAGTTTTCCAAGTAGGTTAAGTAGGCACCCTGTTCTGTTTACTTGCCTGATAACTTTTTTCTTATCTAGTAGAAAGTCTGGCCTAGTGTGAGCCAAAAAAAATGTAAGATGTTTTGTTATGGAGTCAAGATGCATTCATTTTCTAACAGTAACCCTTTCATTACACTATCTATCTCTCTCTCTATCTCTCTATCTATATTTTAAAGGTTTCACATATTTCTTATGGGCCACTAATGCTGATCACAGAGAAGAGTAAGGCTCCTGATTAAGCACACAGGTGTGTCCAACTGATACGATCAGCTTGGCTGTGATGAAGAAGGTGTCATCTCATGAGCCCCAGAGGCTGGCTGCTGCAGCTTCCGCAGGTCCCTGTGGTCCCCACGCATCTCCCCAAACATCTCCCCAGTGTCTGCTCAGGAGCTGGATGTTATTTTATTACCAGTCTTCATCTGAAACCACTGAGGAGTAGGACAGGGTTCTGCTTTTGCTTCTTGGCCAAGAATCTCTCAATCCTGAAAGTCTTGTGAGAGGACATGGTTAGGCTCAGATGCAAGAGCACAGTCAATATATATTTATTATAGAAAAATGAGAAAATACCAATAAGCCAAACAAAACCTAAGAGAAAGTCACTTATGGTTCCTCAGTTAGAGAATAACTCCTGTAAATACACTGATGAATGTGTGAAAAATCCTGTTGGGCTTTTGCTATGCAAATAGATACTTGATTTTTTGCTCACATATATTCACCATGCTTTCAGACCAATGAATAAAGATCCCCAACGTTATTTTGGTGTGCTGGTATATTAAGGAACTGTGTCTCAGCCATCTTTTGTGGGCTACGTAAGCTGTTCCCAGTACCAAGAAGTCTTCTTACATACGTCTTGTATGTGTCAGATTGCTTCTTGGACCCTAACTGCTACAGTGCGATAAAGACAGCCTTGGAGTACGCGGCCACCTTTAAGAGCTTGAGTGCACAGCGCTGACATCCCGCCCAGAGCTCACGGCACTCGGGGCCCTCACTGGCAGCAGAGTCCTGTGCTGCTCTGCTGGGGTTCCGGGACACGCAGTGCCGCTCTGCAAACTTCTCTGCACACCAGGCACTGGCGAAGTCAGGGAGAGCAGGAAGAGGGGGAGGGAAGAGCCAGCATGGGTGGGGAACACGTGGGGATGACAGTAAACTGGAGACCAGAACACTGAGAACGTGGACGCTGTGATCATCCTAGAACCGGTGTCCTGGAAGACTGGCTGGCTGATAGGCTAACTGAGTCTGATCTTGAGGGATCCACCTGGAATTAACTAAATAAAAGACAGGAAAAGAGTGATAGAACGATCCAGAAAAAGGAAAGGCCCCAGGTGTGTCTGTTGTTTCAGGAAGCAGCAAACCATTCCTCACAATTGGATTGAACGATGCATGGGAAGTTGAGGATGGTGGACAGGAGCTATGGCCAGTGAGGCTGAAGAGACAGGTCAGGTCTGATCAAAAAGGGCTCTTGGAGCTAAACAAAGAAACTTTTCCTTTCCTTGGAAAACCAGATAAAGTTAACAGCTGAACACTTCTTTGGGAGGGAGGAGTTGGCACCAAGTCCCACTCCAGGCCAGGGGAGGAGCGATCATACTCAGAATTGCTCTGCTGTTCCCACAGGTGGGCTCTGTAGACCTGGGGCCCCGACTAACAACATCGTGTGTGGTTCTCCTAATAGCCATGTGCAGCAGTTATTGGGGTCCCACTTCACACAGGAGCCTGGCATTCGTGTCGGACAGCTGTACCTAGAATTGCCTCGGCTGCCAGTCTGTAAAGCCTGAATGCTCTTGTAGTGCTAAGTATATATAAACACTAGCACATTCTTTCTTTTTTTTTTTTTTTTTTTCCCCAGAAAAAGTTGCCATTAAGATCCTGGACAAGACCAAGTTAGACCAGAAAACCCAAAGGCTACTATCCCGTGAAATCTCCAGCATGGAAAAGCTCCACCATCCCAACATTATCCGCCTTTACGAAGTTGTGGAGACCTTGTCCAAGCTGCACTTGGTGATGGAGTACGCTGGGGGTGGGGAGCTCTTCGGGAAAATCAGCACTGAGGGGCGGCTCTCCGAGGCCGAAAGCAAGCTCATCTTCTCCCAGATCGTGTCGGCTGTGAAGCACATGGTGAGCACGTGGAGAGTGTCCCCCGCCACTCCACCCACACGGAAGCATGAGGCCTTGGGTTCCTGTCACATAAGGAGCCCCACAGGGCTCTGGTTCTGCGGGGCAGCTAGTGTGGTCACTGGTCACAGGTCTGGCCTGGATGATGCTCTTTGCCTCCCAAGAAACACCCAGGGATCTCCAGTCACACGGGAGACTCCTGGGTCATCTAGCAGTCGCCAGGTCACGCACGCAGCCATCTCCTCACTGCCATCGCGTCTCCAACCTCGCATTCCATACTTTAGGCAGGAGCTCCTTGCCGTGTCTTAGCCTTGCTAACCCGTGCAGGAGGTCTTCTCTTCGTAGCACTTGTCACTGCAGGTCCTAGCTGCATGTCATGACTGCTTGTCTGTCTGTCTGCCTGTCTCTGTCTCTGTCTCCATTGCTGCTCTTGCTGTCTCCCTCTGAAACTTGTTCCTTTGAGTCCTGTGTTGACTCACCCTGAACTTTCCTGCCCTGGTAAGAGCTCCTAACTCTTCCTCCGCTGTGCTCTGCAGGCACTTGATCCTGTCCTTCCTGCCGTGGGTCTCTGATTATTTCTTGATAAGTCTGCATTCCTAAAGCCCACTGTCTCTGTTCTTCAGGAGCTCGAGTCCTTTTGTGCTAGCCCTATTATCAGCCCTGTTGTGGGTGGAGGTTGACTCGCTCCTCCTGCTAACTTGGTGGGCAACTGGAAGGGAATGTAGGGTAGAGTGCAGATAGACAGGGGTCCTTCAAAGACCTAAGCCCTGCCTTTCTCAGGTATCTGGTCTCCCAAACCAGTAAAGGCTAATCGTAGACATAGATTCAAACTACGCTTGGTTTGTCTGTGTGCTAGGACGGAGCAAAGCACCACTGGTACAAAGCCTGTGCAGTTCTAAATAGCTGCTGCATGGTCACCAGGGGCCCATTTTACAAAGGAGACAGACATCCATGTGTCACAGCCAGTATAGCCGAACATAAAATTGACTGAGCTGTCAGGTTTCAATACTAGAATTCTTACTCCAAAAGACTCACTAGGAAAAGTAACATGAAACTGCTTCCAAAGAGCCCCGGAGACTCAGAAGGACTGGGGTTTTGAGAAGGTGGTCCGCACCCCGAAGGGCAGGAGGCCGTGTGGGCACACCACGCCACAGTGGGACCTGCCGCTAGATGCCTGCCAAGAGCCACTGTCGCCCTCCCCCTGAATTGTATGAAGGGGAAAGAAGCCCCTGAAGGAGAATGGCTGGAGGCTGGAGGAAGGCTCCAGGCTTCCTGGGCTTGATCCCAGCTGTAGACCACTCAGAAAAACCCAGACAGGACTTCAGAACGCAAGGGCTACTGTTCGACTGTGGTTCAGAACACACCAGCTCTTACTTCTGGCACTAATTCCTGCGCCCTAGCGTGTGGGACAGACCCACAACTCCCCCCACAGTAAAACCACGCCTTTGTTTGCTTGAGGGAGGGGCATTAAATTGCTAAGGCTATGACAAGATTTCCTAACTGATTTTAATTGCTCTCATTAAATTTCTATTTAACTACAATCAACTCACTGTTTCAGAACAATTGATTTTTTTATCTTAAAGAGAAAAATACCACAGAATTTCAAAGCTAAATAGGAGAGTAACAATAATACATTCTTCATTGTTATCTTCAAAGTAGTTACTCAAAATAAATAAATAAATAATAATGTAGTTAACTCAGAGTACAGGGTGTAGGCATGAGCTAGTGTCTAAACTATGTTAGCACCAACCTTTCTTTTCAACGAACTAAGAGCAGTTAGCAATGTAACTATCCTATCTTCTGTGTGTGTGCGCGTGCAACATTGTCCCCCTTCCCCTTTCCAACTGACACATTTTGTATTTGGAATTTTACTTTGAAACTGATTTTCCTGTCTTCTTCCACAGCATGAAAACCAAATTATTCACCGGGATCTGAAAGCAGAAAATGTGTTCTACACCAGCAGCACGTGCGTGAAGGTGGGCGACTTCGGGTTCAGCACCGTGAGTAAGAAAGGCGAGATGCTGAACACCTTCTGCGGATCTCCGCCCTACGCTGCCCCCGAGCTCTTCCGGGACGAGCACTACGTCGGCGTCTACGTGGACATCTGGGCCCTGGGGGTGCTGCTGTACTTCATGGTGACCGGCGCGATGCCGTTTCGCGCCGAGACTGTGGCCAAGCTGAAGAAGAGCATCCTGGAGGGCGCCTACAGCGTGCCCGCGCACGTGTCGGAGCCCTGCCAGCGGCTCATCCGCGGGGTCCTGCAGGCCGTGCCCAGCGAGAGGCTCGGCATCCACTACATCATGAGCGACGAGTGGATGCGCGGGGTGCCGTACCCCACACCGCTGGAGCCCTTCCAGCTGGACCCCAAGCATTTGTCAGAAACCAGCACCCTCAGAGAAGAAGAAAATGAGGTGAAGAGCACGTTGGAACACTTGGGCATTACGGAAGAGCATATTCGGAATAACCAGGGACGAGATGCTCGGAGCTCGATCACGGGGGTCTACCGCATCATCCTACATAGGGTGCAACGGAAAAAGGCCTCGGAAGGCGTCCCCGCGGCGGTGGTGCCGGACCCCAAGGAGCGACACCTAAAGAGAGGGTCCCGAGTCTACAAAGGCATAAGACACACGTCGAAATTTTGTTCAATTTTATAAATCATGTTGGACTCCCGATAGTTATCAAAGATCATTGCTGCTGCTTTTAAATTTTTTCATGAACAACTTGAGTGGAGACATTTTTGTAATTTTAAATAAATTTAAATTTGAGATATGCATTTTTTCTCCAAAAAGTCTGTTCATGCACATTTTGGTTTGATTTAGGTTCTTGTCTTATTCTCAAACTACAGCCTTCATTCGTTTAACCAAGAAACATTTCTTCAGTGCCCACGATGTGCCAGCTACTCTAAGGTCCTGAGAAAATGCGAGGAAAGCCAGGCTGGTGTGTCCCAGCTCAGGACTCTGGCGCTAGCAAGTGCCTCTCTGTGCGTGATAGTCTAGTGTAGGGTGTGCATGATGACAATTCTGGCATAGCGATCTGACATGAGAAGCTTGCTACTTTGGGCTGGATCTTTATTGAAGCCCCCTTTGGGGAGACAAGAGTAGACGAGCTGAAGAAACAGGACTGACTTTTGAAACGTGCCACGCACCTTCTAGAGGTTTCAGACAGAGCTCGCCTGAATCAGAGCCCAAGACCAACACTTCCATGTACGGCAGTGTATTAGGGAAGTGAGCTCAGAGCACAGGGTGAGGAACAGGGCAAACAGAGTATAGCGGTTGGCTGGTGGTACAGGACTGCTGCTCAGCCCCGCATGGTCCTCTAAGAAGCCTTATGCAGCAGATCTCTGCTTTCTTCCTAGAGAAGGAAAGGGGGACATATGTAGCCATCAGCTCCTGTCCAGTGGTCTAGGATGACAGACGAGCCGCTGGTGGAGTGCCAAGCAAGGCTCCAGGGCTTCCTCTGCCTTTGGGTCAGGAAGGAAGTGGTACACAGCCTTGTCTGAGACAAGGGTTGGCCAGCCATGACCTGCAGGAAACTGCCTCAGCTTGCACGGACACAGTCACTGCAGCAGCGGCTGAAGCAGCATGGCGGGAGGACTAAAGAACATGCTTCGGACACAGGACAGCCCCTTCCACACTCCCCTCTGCTTGCCCTCTACTGAGTGTATCTGGGAGGGACTAGAAGGTCCAGATGCAGTAGGTCAGGGAAAGGCCCCAGGGCCCAGAAAGCTCTCATACACAGAATCATCTAGAGAGCTTGTTAAATCATGAACTGAAGTTTTTAGTCAGTACCTCTGGGGTGGGGGCAAGAAGTTGTTTTTGTATTAAATTCGTAGGCCATGCCAGTACGTCTCATGGGGCCAGGCTTTGAGACACACTGAGCTTAGTGGTCACCAGAGCTGGCGTGGAGGCTACTGAGACACCATGTCATTCATCTATCACCCATCCTCAATTTCCTTCACCTTTTGCCAGCCTTCACCTAGTGTAAATTGGGTAGCATGATTTAAAATTTCATCATCTATGGATATGAGCCCTTAGTTGCTTCATCCTTGTTGAGCTGTAATCACTCCCATTGCCATGTGCCCCACAGTGACACACCAATGAAATGCTTGGGTTCCAGGTGCATTCCTTTTTAGCTTCTGTGTGGTTAGGCTCAATAATCTCCACCAGTACAATGCCTCCTTACTTTGCCTGTTTGTCCACTGGCATGGAATGCCCAAGGGACCAGGTGCAATTCACAAGGCCTAACTCACTGGAGCCTTTCCTGGGGACACTCCAGTGAGTGTCTTTCTACTTCCTGGAAACACAAACCTCTATTCTAGCGTAGGTTGTAAGAAAGAGGAATGTAAAACCTTTAAATGAGCCACTGATTTTGAAGATGAGTTGGTCAATCCTACTTCCACCCATCGGCTCCCAGACCTGTGTGTGTTAACAGGACAGGGATACATAAGCCTTTGTTAAAGTGTAGGCAGTGAGTTCAGAAGGAAGCCCCAGACTTGCAGGTTTCTACCTCTATCCAGTGCCTTAGCCGAACCACTCCATCATTCGTTCTATTACACTGGCCGTTGAGATCTCTGGGAAGATGTGAAGGTCCTGTGCCTGCTGCCCGCCTTCTTTATCAAAGGAGTGGTCCCTTGGGGCAAGGTTATGCAAGATACCACAGCAAAGAACCAAACACTTGCTAGGTTTTCTCATGGAGCATACAATGCAGGCAGAAAAGGCAAATCCATAAATGGTTGTGTCCACTTCAGGGAGTACGAATCATTGCTGTGCTCATGGGATCTGAGCATGGAGGACTATGCTGTGGGTCTGACAAGGCGCAGACCATTTGGTACCAGCTGCTTCTCGAGTCCCTGGGTAGCCACGAACAGAGGCTCAGTCCCTACTGGGTCAGTAACACACCTTGCCCAGAGTTTTCTACTGCAGAAGGTGTGGGCTCACTCTAGGATCTCAGAGCTGTGCTGGAACCTCTAGGGCTCTCCAAGGATGTGATAAAGTGTTAATTGACATGCACACAGCCTGAGTAGCATGAATTTGTACTGAAAGTCACAACTGCTGTGATCTTTCTTTTGTGAAATCCACTTGAAAATACTGGCGCTGATAAAACACTTGGAATAATAAACCAAGTACAATGTGTGCTTCCAAAATCCAGGGAACGCCACTAAATCTTATGTCATTATATTAATGCTAAGAAATGGGGATTAGGGGCAGCCAGATAGCTCAGCAGATTAAAGCACCTGCTTAGGCAGATGCAGGGGCCAGGTTCAACCCTCATGTGCCTTGCCGGCCCCGCCCCTGGGGCACGCCGAGACAGCAATTGAGACTGGGCGTGGTGGCACACACCTGTAATCCCAGCATTTGGAGGCTGAAAAACAGAATCAGAGTCTGATCTGTACAGTAAGACCTTGTAGACCCTGTACTAAAAAATACATTAAAAAAAAGAAATGGGGATTAAAAGAGTTTACTGTAGAAAGAATATCTAGATATAGCCCTTCAGCTCATTGATTTTCTAAATACCTCCCCCGTCTGACCCACCCTCAGGTGCTCATGAAGCTTATCACTGCACCTGAGGACATGCAGGTCTGGCAGGGCATCTGAGGTTCTGCTCGCTCCTGGCAGCTGTGGGCATCTCAGAAGGCATCACCACAGTCAACCAGCATAGTGTAGTGTGTAGTATGAAGCCCACCAAGATCCTTAAGACTATGTTGTGGGCCAGCCAGATAGCTCGGCAGACTAAAGCACCTGCTTAGGCACCGCACAGAAACCAGGGATCAACCTCCTGCGTGCTGTGCCAGCCCCACCCCGGAGCACACTGAGACAGCAATGAGACTGGGCGTGGTGCGCGCCTGTAATCCCAGCGCTTGGGAGGCTCTAAACGGGAGAATCACTACAACTCTGATCTAGGTAGTGAGACCCCTAGATCCTGTACCAAATACATTTTTTTAAAAAAGACTATGTTGTGACAGAGCAGAAGGTTCAACATCTTTTGGGCAACAGTTAATGGTCATCACTGTTCTAGAGGAATGTGAACTGCTTTGGGTCCTCCTCTTGGATGGAAGCTGAGAAGGATGTATTTGCTGGATCAGTAGGTGCATATCAGACATCAGTGAAGATGCGACATCCAGCCTGGCATCCTGTGTAGACCGACAGCAGTGCCTGCCCTTCTCCGCCATCTGCTTGCTTTCTTTCGGGTATCTTATGGCTAGGATGGAGCCATTACTTGTTTCCCTTGGGATTTCAGGGGTGGCATGCGCAGCTGCTGCCCTCTTTCACGTGATTTCTCATGCCTCAGTGATGTGGCCAGGGAGACATTTCCATTTGGCTCTTCTTAGATTCTTCTCCACAAAACATAGGTCTAAGCATATTTATACACCTGGAGATTGGGAAAATAACCCTAAGCAAGACCTGCTATGAACTAGACTTTGGCTAGGACTCCCTTTCCACCCAGCTCACAAAAGCCCCCATCTACACATACAGCCACAGGCGGTCCAACAGTCCTTTAAAATTCTAGATTGTTTATACACTTGTGGAAGATAAGCTTTTATCAAGACCAGCCTTGTCCTCACCGTGCACTAAATCCTAAGTAGACCTAAATCTAAAGGCTAGGCACGGGCTATGACCCTCCCACTCTGGCAGACCACCTCTGCTCTCTGCTCACGTCCTTGCCTTCTCACCCTCCCTCTCTCAGTTACACAGGTTAGGTAACACCCTGACCAGCTGTCTCTCAGATACCCCCTTGGCCGGCCACTGTCACAGGCATGGCACTCCGCTCAGTCCTGCACTCTCACTATCCACGGCTGAGTTCTCCTTTCCTGGGCTAGTCTAGAACCCACCACTTCCCCATACCTTGCACTGTTTCAGATTAGCATCTGTCGACCCACCCAGGTGGCAGCTGCCGTCGAGCTTTCGTAGGTGCTGATGTGCCCCTCGCATGGCGATAAAGATGAGCTCATGAATGTTAGAAAACAAATGATCAGACTCCTTTACTAATTACTACACTTTTAAGAGCAGATATGAGCCTTAAAGCTGCCAATCCAAGAATTCCCTCTACAAAACCCCTGGCTGCGAGTTGCTAGTAATCTGGGACTTTTCGAGGCATTCACTGGCGGTAGGCTGTCCTAGGTTGGCTATAAAACTTGCTCTTCTTGAATCCCTAAGCCTTACTTTCATGTTGACAATTCAAGAAGCTCCTGGCCTCAGTTTTTATAGTTTATACATGTTTACCACCCAACTGGGAAATTAATTTCTTTCTTGGAACTGAAAGAACGAATTACAAATGTACATTTTTCCGTAGTAGACAAATAACTCCTTGAAAAGAAGACTGGAAATCTGGTACGTCCTTTTAGTCTTGACATACACTGTTTAGGTTTTCAGGTATTTGTGTAGAACGAGTGTGTGAACTGAAATGCCCATGTTTAAAATTAATATAACCTGGTCTCTGGCCTAAATTATTCATTCAGAAGGGAAAAAAAATACTCAAACAGCCAAATATCTCTCTGAAACTTTATTTCAAAGTGGTTCACCTCACTGGCTGCGAGGCATGTGGTCAATGTCCTGTGCCAGCACTGCCAGGCTTACCCACTGCCGGCAATGGGCCCTGAGAAAGCCATTTCTTGACTGAACTCCCAGCACTTGCGAAGGTATTACATGCACCACTTCCCCACCATTCTTCTTACATAATCTACACAAGCGGACATTAAAATGAAGTCACTTTAACAAATTAGGGCTGTACAAGGCAGAAGGTAGAGTTCACGTCAGACAGGCGTATCTCATAACCCCATTACACATAACCTTGCAGTCCAAAATGTTACATTTCGTATTTGTGAATGGTTATTTTAGATAACTGAAACTTCACAGAATTTAACAGCTAATAACATTTTTAAAAAATTTAGCTCTGTACATTAGTTCCAACTATCTCTATTTTACAATCTATAAGGCTCATGTCATAGTTCAGCACCAAAAACAGCTATACAACGTTCCAACCAATCTTTTTATCCCACATGACAGTTTTTTTTTTCTTTTATTTATTTATTTATTTATTTATTTATTTTAGGTTGGAAGTCTAAGAAAAGCTTTATAAATCCTACTTCCAGACTTCGAAGCAGAATACTCTTTTTGGCTAGCCAGACTATGTCACAACTTGAGTTGCACTTTTTTAGTTTCACTGAACAGACACACATAAAAACACACACATAAAACACACACAATAAACAAAATAACTCTTACACCATGAATTTGTCAGTCTAAAAATTAAATTTGTAACACTGAAGCAAAGGTAATCTAATAATGCCCTGACCCATCCTCTAAATTTTTAAAAGGCAGCCAAAAATGTTTCCTGTATCTTTTACAAAACAGTGCAGAGAAAGACCGCAAACACAGGCTTCCTCACACACACCCCAACACACGAAGGCTGGGAGTGTGACAAGCCACTGTGCGCTGATCCACAGCGACCAATGCCACAGCCACAGCCACGGCTATGAGCCAGGTTTTCTGTGTGGAAGCCACTCAACACTGCATCTCTGTTCAGAGGTTGTTACAGTAGCCTGTCGCTGCCAGCCTGGACACCAAGCAATGGCCCAGGGTCCAGCACCAGTGTCACTGTGTCCTCTTTTCTCCCTCGTTACAATGTCTAATCCTAGAAAAGCATGTTTATCTTACCAAACAAGGTTTGTTCATAATATATTTTAAGACCCCATTTCCTAAGCTAGAAAAGTTTGTCAAAAACCACATGTACTTTCATTAATCTTGTTTGTTCAAAGTATAAAATTCTTACATCTTTAAAAAAAAATTTAAATTTGAGACTAGTACCTCTGCTTTCTTCTGACAAAAGCACATGATTCGCATCATGTTTAAAAACTCGACTTCATGCATATAAATGGCCAGAGATGCCTAAATTCTAAGAGCCCTTAACATCATTCCAGTACACTCAGCATTGGCCAGACCACAAAGGGCAACGCGTCAGCAAACTGAGCAGAGACGTTCCAAGAGCACAAATACTTCCATAGGTTGTGTCAGTCACAAAAATTTAAGCAACGTGTAACCCTTTAAAACTGTCCCAGACACCGCACCCCTCCACCCTCTCCAGCCCCCCCACCCCACCATGACATCGTGCGCCCCACAGAGTACTCAGTGTTCCCCGTTGCTAATGACAGCTGCTCCAGGCTCTGCTGCTGATGCAGGAAGTCTCGGCACCTTCTTAGCAGGGCTTGGGATGTGCTAGAATGAGAGGAAAAGAGCAGCTGGCTCTTACAACGCCCCAGGCTCGCAGGCCAGAGCCAGGGCGAAGCTAGCAGGTGCTCCCAGAGCTAACTACAGACCTCTCCGGAGAGCGTCAGTCTAAACAGGTAGTCTCTCCAGCTTTCCCTGGGGCAACTCAATCCCATTCTTCTTACCTTACAGTCAACCACACCCAACAGACAGCAGCAAACTTTCTTTCTTTCCTTCTTTTTGTTTTTTTCATTTATGTACTTGGTACAGGGTCTCACTGTGCAGCTCGGACTCCTAGTGGTCCTCCTGCTTTCAGCCTCCCCAACACTGGGATTACAGGCACGCGCCACCACGCCCAGATTCATTTGCCAGCTCAGCACACCCTGGGGGTGGGGCTGGCACAGCATACGGCACTGGGGATCAAACTCTGGTCCTTGTGCTTGCCAAAGCAGGCACTTAGTCCACTGAGCTATGTCACCGGCCCTCTCTTTTCCTTGTTACATATTTCCCACTTAAACACTGGCAGCCTGACTTGCTACTTAATGGGCATAAAAGTAAGAAGCAAGACTATGCACTTATCAAAGCTGTGATAAGCAGAAAAATAAGTAACTTCAAGTTATAAAAGTTCTTGGTTTGAAACCCAGCTTTACCATTTGCTATGATCCTGGAGAGGTAATTTAATTTGTTGGAGCCTCATCGTAAGATAAGGATAGTATCATTAAGAAACCTTAAGTAGGTTGTTGTAAACATTAATCAAATATAAGTACAGCCTGCCATACAACAGACAGGAGCCCCCGCTATCGGGGTTGCCTGGCGGTGTGCGGAGCGGTCAGCAGCCCCGGCTCCACATCCCTCCTCTGCCCCCACTAAGCCGCAGCTCAGACGAGCATCTCTACAGAACTATCTTCCGTCGTGTCTGGTGCTGTTAACACAACCCAGCCTGGAGCACACACTCTACGCTGCAGCAAGCAGCACAGCTGGAATGCAGCGCCAGAGCCCAGGCCCTGACTAGCGTTTTACTGCCACCCTTTAGGGTGCTGAGTCTCAGCCGGGGGTCCTACAGCCTGCGAGATGAGATTGGAAACTTCTACACTGTCACAGAGCAGGACAGCAAAATGAGCTTTACCTCCGTGGCTGTGCTGGAATGAATCAGTCCTACTCCTTCGCCCAAAGTGTCATCGTTTGGAGAGGGGTGGCGTGCGTAGGTTCTTCTGTGCTTCTCATCCACTCTAACTAGGTACCATGTTCCTCCAAAAAGGGAGTCTACGGGGCACTGGGGGATATAGTTGGCTAAGGGAAGGCAGGAGACAATGAAAGTCAGTGCGGTACACAGCTCACCTGGTGACAGAACTAAACAGACTTCTCACACTTGTGGACAATTGCACATTTAGGATTGTGATAGCGCCCCAACAAGTCCTACTGAAGTACAATTTAGGTTAGTACCCAAGTGATGGGTGTCCTCTCTGAGCTTCATGCTTTCGGCGAAGACATCAGGTGCCACACACGTTCTTGAGTCAAGCCTCGACTTAAGATCACATAAACTTGCTGTTATTCTGTCAAGAGCGGACCCTAAAATGCAAATCATTTCAACTTTAAAGACTAAAAATAGCATGTGCTTAAGAAGCCTGAGTAAAGTCTTGCCAAATAAAAATAACCTTTCTTTTAGAACTACTGGCTATGTTTTAGCTAAAAACTAACATGGTGTATAATCAACCCAGCTTCTGATGCCCTGACTAGATACTGATTCAGAGATAAGGTAGGAAAGAAACGAAAATAAGTCACTTTTCTGAAGCCTGCCCACAGTATCCTTCTGAGTCACGCCAAGCTTTATTCAGGCTTGTTCCTCCCGCTCAGGGAAGCCATGAGTTTCCTTAAACCTACAGAAATCAGTGTGCTTTACCTAGGCAAGGCAGAGACTAACAGCCTGGTTCTGCTGCCCACGGGCCAGACTAGGGCCCATCTAAGGAGCCTAGTAGAGCAGCCTCTGCACAGCGGGTCCTCATGATTCTACCGAGAGACCTGGCACTGACCTGGCGTGGCATCTTGCGTGACCCTGAGAGAGTACAGGGTGGCGGCCAAGCCAGAGCCATAGGAGAACACTCCGATCTTCTTTCCTGCCAGCTGCTGGGGGGAGTACCTGCATGGTGAGAACACGGCTATGAAGCTTAAGTGATCCACACCTACAGTGCGTGAGAAGCCACAAAAGAAGGGATAAAAATCACACTATAGGTCAAAGTAGGAACTACTTTAATGTTCTTAAGGATCTAGCTTAATGTTTTAGTATTACAGCAGGAAATCTAACCTAAACTTTTAGTATAACAGCAAGCAGACTACAAGCAAGTTTTTATTGTGGGGGAATGGTGAAGCTTACAAAGGTTATACCCCAAGATAAGATGTTGCTCAGTCAACCACAGATCTGTCTTCAACTGCACATCAAAAATAATAGGGGCTGGTGAGATGGCTCAGTGGTGTAAAGCACCTACTTAGAACAAGCTTGGCAAAGCACGGGGACCACGGTTCAATCCCCCAGCACCACATGCCAGCCAGCCCCGCCCCCTGGTGGGCTGAGCTGGCTACACACACACACACACACACACACACACACACACACACACACAAATAAATAAAATTAAAAATAATAATAATAATAATAATAATAATAATAGGGGCTGGTGAGATGGCTCAGTGGTCTAAAGCACCTACTTAGAACAAGCTTAGCAAAGCACAGGGACCGCGGTTCAATCCCCCAGCACCACATGCCAGCCAGCCCCGCCCCCTGGTGGGCTGAGCTGGCCACACACACACACACACACACACACACAAATAAATAAATAAAATTAAAAATAATAATAATAATAATAATAATAATAATAAAAGCATGAAAACAGAGACCAGGAATGTATGAACTGGACTACTTCGGGAAGCCTTATCCACTCACTATGTCCCTCAAGTTAATGGACAACAGTACAACAGAAGATACAGCAGCATTTTGTGAACTATCGACAGACCTCACGCTGGATTTGGTCTGAGAAATCTACCACCACCAGAAGAGGAAGGCAAACAGCTGAAGTCTATACTCACTGTGCTAGAACAGAAGCAAGGGAGCCATATACTGAAGAGGTGTACATATTTCCATTTTGATTCGATACAAGCAAAGAAGCCTTTGTTTTCTGATTAAAGAGTTCAGAGCTGGCCTTCATAAATGCCTTTTCCACATCTCTGTCAAAGTAAGTATCTTCTAATTTAACATCCCTGAAAGGTACAGTTGTAATTTAGGTTTCAAAGTTTATATTTTTATATCAAATGATAGTCATCCTAGTTAATATTCAAATCTTTAAGTTTGTATGATTCTGTCTCCCCATTTTTAGAAAGTCAAGTAGCAACATGCTAACTGCTACAAAAGATGTAAAGTTGTATGTATATATTTCTTTTTTGTTTTTATTTTTTTTGGCGGAACCAGGGATTGAACTCAGGCCCTTGTGCTTGCCAGGAAGTGCTTATTCCACTGAGCCAGCTCCCCGGCCCCGTATATATTTCTTTTTCTCAAGGTTTCTCAGTAAGTAAATGCACTTGATACTAGTGAGTTCACAGACTACTACAACTCTATCATCCCCAAATACAGTGTGACACTATTGCAAGTCGAGTAGTGTATATTTAGTTAGAAAAGTTATCTTGTAGGAGCTAAGCCTTAAAAATTGAGTAAAGGGCTGTAGAGATAGCTCAGCAGTCTAAGCGCCTGCCTAGCAAGCACAAGGACCTGGGTTCAATCCCTGGTACTATATGCCATGCCACTGTTCCAGTCACTGAAACCGACATGGTAGCACACAACTGTAATCCCAGCACTGGAGAAGCTGAGACAGGAAGGTCACTATGAGTCCGAGCTGCATAGTGAGACACTGTACCAAATAAATATATTAAAAATTGAATAGAATTTTATCAGATGGAGAAGGGACACAGATGGGGAAAATATGAGTTTAATATACAAAATATGCTAGAAAACCTAAAGATTGAGAACAAGATGGAGCATGCTGTTCTTCAATAGTGGCAATGTGCGCAAAAGATAAGGCAGGGCTTTGGCAGAGGCAGGGGGCTCAGTGAGGCCACACGGGGGCTTCAGGAGTCTTATTTCAGGGACACTGAGATGGCTGATGGGGAGCTGAGAACATCTTAGGCAGATATGACTAAAGAATTGGTGTAAGTAAGCTACCGCCCTTCACATCTGTACGAATAAAAGAAACAACTCTTAGGGCCAAACATGGTGGTCTATGCCTGTAACACCAGCATTCAGAAGTTTAGACAGGCCGGGGAGCTCGCTCAGTGGAATAAGCGCTCCCTTGGCAAGTGCAGGGGCCTGAGTTCAATCCCCGGTTCCGCAAACGAAAAAAACAAGAAGTTTAGACAAGAGGATCACTGCAAGTTCAAGGCCAACCTGGGCTACATGGTAAGTTTTAAAACAAAACAAAAATAACAAAATCAAAAATTAAAATGTTCTACTTCTTGTTACATAGGTCTTGCTTTATCTTGGACTTAATCATCCAGCAGAAAAGTATAAAAACGAGGTATAAAAAGTAAAGCCCTATCAATATGTTGAGCTGTAAAAGGCTCAAGTCAGCAGCTTCTGACATTGCCAGTCCTGTGGACAACCCACTGCTACTATGGACTGCTGGACTATATTGGATTACTTTGCTGAATTCACATACCTACAATATTTAAATGGCAATGGAATACCCATCTCTGACAAAACTAACAAAAAAGGAGGATATAAATGAAGGACCATTTTGTAGTGACCATTTTGTATATACAAAATAGGATAGATATACAGCTACTTTCTCTTAATTCAATGAGAAGAAAGATTTGTATTAATAGTGTTTAGACAGGATATCATGTCTGTATCTTGTACTATGAGTAACTACCACAAAGACAATAATATGCAATGTATTAAATATTGTAACTGTCCTACTAACGTGTTTTGAAACTGTCTCACCGCTATTTGTTTCTCAATAAAATTAATTTTAAAAAGTTAAATGTTCTAATGTAGAGGGGAAAAAAAAATGTTCTTACCCAAAGGATTCCAGTCCACTATAGACAGAATTTTTATCTCTATTCTGGTCATTAAGGAAATCATTCAGCATCATCCGAGCCAGAGATTTCTGAACCAGTTTACAGTATGGTGAGTGAAAGATCATGAAGCCAAAATCATCCAAGGTAAAATCTTTATCATTTCCCTCTGAAAGAGAAGCCCAAAGAATCTGTGACATTCATACAATCCAAGAAGTTTTGTAGCTTGACTTTAGAACAAGGCTAGAATGTTTTTATATCCTTAGATAATAATCAAAATGCTCTTTATAAAGAAATTTCTCTTAGTGTAAAATGCATATTTTTAAAAAAGGACACCAAGGGATGGAATAATATATAGTACTGCCTCACTGATTTCCAAATTTAAGAGTCATACCTCATGAGGCTATATAATCAATCTAACAGTTTAGGACCAGCTTTAAAAAATAAAATAGAAACATAGCAAACTAGACACATGTACAATGTCAAGTGTGCTTCTTACTGTAGGATCTGGTTAAAAAAAAGAACATCACTGTCCTGTTCAATACAATTATGTGGATGGAAGTGAAATTTAACCCTGTCTCACAACTCTAAAATACAAAGCTGCATTACAGAGAAAGCATACTTCCTATACCACTGCATACTATAACAGCAATGACACAAATACCACCTTTTTCATTGCCTCAAGAACTTTTCAAGGTCAAAGACTGAGATCAATGACGACACTTAAAAATACAGATTCATAGGAATAACTTGAATAATTTGTTATTCTTAGTTTTCTCTGAGTCATAGTTGTAAACTAAAACTTTGCTAAACTACCTCTCAAAAGATGAGCAAAATTCAAGACATTTTTTTCTGTCTAATCAAGGCTTAATTAGCCCAAGCATTTTTGCAGACATATATTGCATTTTCAAAAGTTACCACTCTATCTGAATTACATGTTCCCCAAAACTACAGGAAAATGCTGGTTGGCAAATGAGGAAAAAGAGGTGAAATGTAACTACTCAAGGCTCTTCCCAAACAGTTTCTCACTAAGGTTACCCAGCACATTATGCCACTGCCAGCAGATACCAAGCCGTAGGAAACGTGAAGAAGGACAAACCTTACCTTTCTGCCACTGGGCACGGATCTTTTTACGGTAGACAGAATAGCAGCGGTCTAACGCGCTGAGATAGCACTGTATGGAGAGCTTTCCATCTACAATAGGGTACTCGGAGAGCATATCAGGCTTGTAGAAGTCATAGGCATGCTGCATGTGTGTCCCACGAAGCCCTATCAGCACCAAAAAGAAAGATGTCTCTGACTGATGCTCATATATTACTTAGTACACTGCATCATCTACGCATCTACCTCAACAAATTCACTCTTACCAGAGAAAACACAAGGGACTCAGGGTTACAGGAATTAAAAGGAAACACAAAAGGAATCATGGCCGGGCCTCTGAGTCCCTTCATGCAAGTTCCACAAAAGCACCTGGGAGATCAAGCTGGGACTGTGAAGACACACGAAATGTGCCGGTGACTGGGCCATTATTCAGCCCTCACCTGCACCCACCGTGTCCCTGTACAGCATGCTCCACCTGCCTCAGCAAGTGTCAGGAAGACACAACGAGGCAGCAAGCAGGGCTCACACTTAATAATCACTCGGCACGTGACAGCTCAGAACACCATGTTAACCAAATAAATAAGAAGTCAATAAATGCTTTCCCACTCACCTCGGTCAAAAATTAAAGGGGCATTTGGCCCAATTAGCAGCGCCACGGCTCCAGCCCCACCCGTAGGCCTGGCATTTCCCGTGGCATAGACAGCAATATCTCCTGCAACCACCAGGGCATACCGTCCTAAAAAACATTTTTTGTCATTTCACAAGGTAGTTAGCATCATATATACCATGCATTCAAATTCAAATTTTGTATTTTCCCCAGAATAAGCTTTTCCCATCTTTAATACAGAAAAATGTCCTAATTTAATTTTGAATAAATCATTTATCCTGGAGAATACAATAACCATAACTCACAATTTAGATGAGATGAAAGGTACCGTATCTCTCTGAATATATTTAAACAACTATGACTAGTAAAGTGTGCACATGGTGGGCTGGGGAGCTGGCTCAGTGGAATAAGTGCTTGCCTGGCAAAAGCAAGGTCCTGAGCTTGATCCTCATACTACCAAAAAGGAAAGCACTTTGTGAAGTGTGCACATGGCATTCATTACAAGGTCATGGGATCTATTCATCGAAGGAGTATTTAGGGTTCAGTTTTGCAGAGTAGAGGCATGCAACATACCGTCCCAAGAGCTAGATTCAACCCAGTTAACAGCATTGAACACCGCAGCCGTGCCCCCATAGCACGCGTTGGTTGTATCTATCCCTTCGATATCTGTATTCCCAGACTCCTCAAACAGCTGCATCAGATTACTCTTCACAGACTTGGATTTGTCGATGATCGTCTCGGTCCCAACCTCGAGCCGCCCGATGCAGTCATAAGAAAGGCTGTTCCTTTCCATCAGGTTCTGGACAGCGGTCATGCAGAGAGAGGTGATGTCCTCTCGGTCTGTGCAGAAGCCCATCTTCGCCTGGCCCAAGCCAATGGTGTACTTGCCGGCATCGACGCCGTCGTATTTCTCCAACTCTGCCTGGTCAACATACTGAGATGGAAAATAGATCTCCAGGGCGACGATTCCCACATCTTTTGGCCAGCAAGCTTCTGCATTCAAGGGAAGCGACCCAGGCATGGTGAAAGAGCTTTAGAAAGAAAGAAACACACATTATTTTAGGTGATGAAGTGTTAACTTTGAACATCAAGACCGAGAAACAGATGTGATGCATTCAACAATGACATAAAAAATTACTTCAGTTTCTCAAAGCTTAAAATATTTTCTTTAGGGCTAGCAAATATAAATATGTAAAGGAGTAATAGTTACTGTACAAGTAGAATGCTATACTGTACACTTATAGCCTTTTAGAAAGGCTTCTACTTTGTTCAAAACTGGGTATCTTTATATTTGAAACACTCAAGTAAAATTCTCCCATATTATAAAAAATTATGACATAAAGTGTAAAGCCAATTTTAAAATATGGCAAAAAAAATCCCATAATTCAATTGTCTGACCTACTCCTGACCATCTAAAATAGCTTAAATAGATTAGTCATCATAGATACAGTATTGATTATACACAGTTATTCACTTTATGGAACTTTAAAAATTATTAGGTCAAATACTATTGCTTTCTTTTCTTCTCTTCAGTACCGGGGGTCAAACAGGACCTTACGCTTGCCAGGCAGGCATTTATGCTGCTGAGCTATCTCCTCAGCCTTCTACTGCTTTCTTACAGAAGGCTAGAAGATCAATCTGTATGAAGCCTCTGCTATTATTTGTTCCCACCAAAGAAGCTAAATCAACACTGTGAAAAGCTACAAGCCAGGATCACCGCAGGGTTAGTGCCAACATGGCATTTCCACAGCTAGAGTCCAGGTCATCAGTGAGCACAGAATTGATGCCTCACATATCTTCTAGATCGGGGCTGAGTTAGGAAGAAACCCTGATAATCTGTGGAGGTTTTTGTTTTGTTTTTTTGTCTTGTTAAGACAGAGCCATGCTATGCTGGCCTTGAGCCCACTGTGTAGCCCAGACTGGTCTCAACCTTGCAATGATTCTCCTGCCTCAGCCTCCTGAGCACTGGAATCATAGGTATGAGCCACCAGGCCCAGCTAACTCTGATAATTTAAAACTTATAGTGTATATTACCTGTGTGGCAGCTAGCTCTCAGCTTCTTAAAACTACGGCTTTCCTAAAAAAGCACTAAAAAGATGGACTGTTGTCATACAGTGAAGATTTTCAGTAGGTTTGATGAATAAGTTTACTTACCAAAATTGGTAGCCCTCAAGACCACTGCTATATGCACATGCACAAATCATTAACTAATCAGAGCCTCTGTGTGTGTGTGTGTGTGTGTGTGTGTGTGTGTGTGTGTGTGTGGTCCTGGGGACCGAATTCAGGACCTTGTGTATACTAGGCCAACACCCTACCACTAAGCAACGTCCCCAGGACCCTAAATGTCTTTTTACATGGTAGTATTAGTCAAGAAATGAAAAATTACTCTAGAGGGAGATTTAATGCCAACAGAAGCAATTTATTCTAGAGAAGTGGTTGTAAGTCACCCGCTGAGCTAGGGGACCACAAGGGGAGGGTGCTCCTCAGATCACATGCTCACACTTGGCCTGAAGCTGGGGCAGCCACCTCTGCTGCCGAGAGGCCGAGGCCCACACTCCCTCGCCAACTGCTGTGCCACTAACAAGGTAGCAGCCGCATTCCTGCCCCTTCCTAGTCTCACGGGAGTTCGCCCACTGGGATTCTAACCAAACTGGCTGGAAGAGGGTCAGGGAATGAGCAGGCTTTGCCAAGTGGCACAGCCCATGACTTCCAGGACAGGAGCTAGGCACACATCTGAAATTCTACAGCCTTGTTTTCTTTTCAGGTAGGTCATCACTGGATGATGGTATTTAGGTGGCAGAGTTTCAGCTCTTCACTGACCAAAAGATCTTGGTTTATGAATCAGCAAGGGTAAACCGGTTCACTAACTTTCTTCAGTGTTGGATGACTAAAAACGCAGTCAATTCCTGTGTCATCCGTCCTCTGCCATTCTGCACACTCTGGCACAATCCTGAGGCATAGTGAAATTAGGAACTTTTGCCACAGTGAGTTCATTAAGGAAATCTTGAGAAAACACTTAAGACGAAAGGCTGGGTCCTTAAATCACAAAACCCACCTTTTATAGCCTGTGGGTGATCAACTCATGAGTACATTAAAACCTAAAAAATAAACACCTAGATATACAGCTACTTCTTCTTAGTTCACTGAGAATAAAAGTGTACACTAATATTGTTGAGACAAGATGTCATGTCTGCATCCTGTCCTCCGAATAACTAACTACTACGAAGACAACAACATGCAATGTATTAATTATTGCAAATGTCCTACTAACCTGTTTTGAAACTGTTTCATTGTTATGTTATCTTTTTTTCTCATTAAAACGAATAAAAATTATTTTTTAAAAAAAAGCACCTAGAAAAATAATCACAAATCTAAGCTAAAGATCTCAAGCAACACAGGTTGACTCTCCAAACACAGTCATATTCATGGTTGGTCTTTTTTATTCATCTAAAGAATGCCAACATGCTACATATTGAAACAGTCAGAGTAAGTTCAGTGGTGACATCTGTGTCTCCCCAAACACTGTCCTGTGGAATGGTGAGATTACAAACACGGAGTAACAAGGAGGCAAGGACATGCAGTCACGTAAGATCTTGCAGAATTACCTCACCGGCCTGGCGGCAGGCACCAACTGTGCCGAGAAGCAGCTGGCTACACATACCCTGATTCAGTCTAGGAACAGGGAGGAGTGGATCAGTAAAGCACACCAGAAACAGACTTTGGGGAACAATTTTCAGCGGTGAGGACAGCATAAACAAAGACACACAGCAAGGGACTAGGAAAAGTGGTTACTGGTCTGTCAGCATGAAGCCAGAGCTCCAGGGAACAGCTGAGACAAGGGTCAGGGCAGGGAGGTCCTGACAGCTGACGTGGGGAGCTTGGCCTTTATCATCAAGAGTTTTAAAAAGGAAACTTCGCCTTTTCAATAATTCAATCCTAACTTAATAATCAGGGTCATACTGTTTCCCAACTCTAGAATGAAGTTAGTAGATGGCAAACATTTTTTTAAAAAGTGAATCAAAAAATAGGAATTATCAGATACATGACAGATTTTTTGTCCATGGAATATCTGTTTCAATATTCACAAGTATACTGCATGACAACACAAAGTGCGATTCTTGCGGGGAGCTCCCAGTCAGTCCAGCTACGTGTACAGTCACAGGCGCTGTGCAGGGAACAGTTTGGAGTTAGGAGGCAGATGTAGCAACCTAGGTAAAACACAAGCCACGAACTAGAGCAACTGCTACACGAGGGGTTAGGAAGGAACAACTGCAAAACTACAACTACTGCAGAAACTGCTACTACCAGGATGCTAGAAAAAGAAAGAAATGTCCTGGAGCCGACTGTGGGCTCCACTGGGCACCACCCGATGGGCTGAGAGGACAGGGAGTGTCTTCCCGCCTCCTTCTACAGTCACTTCGTTCACACCGGCTGTCTGCTCCTGCTCTCGCCCTGGTCAGCAGGTGCCAAACAACCCAGTGTCGGGGTCACCGCGAGGAAGCAAGGGGCACGCGCAGAGCAGCTGCCTCTGCCCCTCTTCTCACTGACGCCTGCAGGTCTCTCCAGGTAGGCCTGCCGTCCACTCTGACCCGACCCAGGGTACTTTATGCAAGATCCTCAACTTGGCCTTTTGTAATCTACAATAATAAGTCAATAATTGATAGGTACTGAGTATCAACCCAGTTGTTCTCCTTACTCAAGTTACCTCAGAACCCTTCCCTATCGGCCAATTACTCTATCCATTATCTGAAAACCTGCATGGTTTCTTCAGCAACTCATCTCTCGGTTCCAACCTACAGCAGGGAGCTCACACCTCAACCGTTAAGTCTTTCGAACCCAATTCACTCTTACTCTCCCAAATTCCTAATACCACTCCCAGTCCACTGCTAGCTACCTTAGGCATTTCAAGCCTACGCTCCTCTACTATCATATTTCATCAATGAAGAGTCACATCTTGACAGTCAATAGACTGAAAGTCCCAGAAACAATTCTGAATTACTTTTCACCTCTAGGAAACAAGTGGCCTGGGAAAGGCTGTGAAACCTCAAGCAAGAGACGAAAGAACTTAAAGGAGAGTATGAAAACCTTTTTATGCACAAAACCTTCAAAGGAGTGTAGTATCACAAATGCTTCTAGAGGCCCAGAAGATGTTACATGAAAAACTATAGACTTCTTTTTTCTTTTTTTTTTAATGTATTTAGTACAGGGTCTACAGGGTCTCACTATGTAGTAGCAGTGATCCTCCTGTTTTCAGCCTCCCAAGTGCTGGGATCACAGGCGCACCACCACACCATCTCAGGTCTCAGCACTCCCTGGGGGTGGGACTGGCACTGCACACTGGGGATCGAACCCCAGCCACCGCGCTCTGCCTAAGCAGGCGTTTTAGTCCACTGAGCTATTGGCTGGCCCTAAAACTACAGACATTGATAACTCTGGATCAAAGAATAATTCAGAAGTGGTAGGCTAGAAAATTTACTGGTTCCTCAGTGTGTTACCACTTGTATTTTTCTTTTCATTAAATGTGCAAAAGGGAAACACAGCAAACCTATGGGCTCAATCTAAAAGCTCTTTTGATAAGTACAAATAAAATTCTAAATATTAAAAAATGCATCTTAATTGGCACTACAGCATCTTAAACTAATAATAGCTTCTACTACTGTACTTACAACATCTATCTGAGTCATAATACAGATAACTCCGTATTAGTCCATATGTTCAACATGTCTTCCTAAAACTCACATTTGTCGCCCTGCCCTCCCACATGATGGCTTCTGAAGGTGGTCAGGTTTAGAGGAGGCTATGAAGAGGGACCCTCAGTCCTTGAGCTTAAGACAGCTCAAGGACTAAAGCATCGGCTTAGGCAGGATCAGGGAGCAGGCCCTGGTGTGCTGTGCGGCCAAGGCCCTGGCCCACCCCTGGGGCATTCTGAGACCAGGACTGAGAAGTAGGTGTGGTGGCACACCCCTGTAATCCCAAAGAGCAAGAGCAAGGGCCTGAGATCAATCCCCAGTTCTGCAAAAAATAAATAAAT